TTGCCATACCGCATCAACACGTAGTGCAAAAAAGTAACAGTAAGAGGTGGATATTCTAACAATCGGAACAAATACCCTAAAATTTTTGAAAGATTCATGAAAATTGCAGTATATCATAGTCTGTGTGGAATTTCATTCAAACTTCTCCCCTCACCCCCATCGCTGGCGGCGACCCTGTCTCAACCTTCCTCTGAACCAAGTGGTATGCCATCGGAAAATTAGTGACACTAGCTATTACAGGAACAAAATGTATAAAGAATAGACAAACATTCTTCTTTATATATATATATATATATATATAGAAGATAATTTATTGTCATATGAACTTCAAATGACAATGAAAATAATGAATATCATTTTTATTTATTTTCCAAAAAAATTTAAAAATAATAAAGAAAGAAAAAAAAACTGCATCTGTAGTTATGCAATGTATTGAGATATCTATGCAATCATATATTACTAATTATATGATACTATAATTCAAGCAAAATATAAACTTAGTATTTTTTAACTTTTTTTGCCCGTTGAAGAATGTAAAAAAAATAGTTTGTCCAAAAAGAAACGGATGACCAGTTACGCTGCTTAGAAACAGAAATACACAAGCAGTTATCATTTAAAAGAATATAATTGTTTCATTCTTAATTTAATTATTTACTCTTCTGAAAGATTATAGGATTTGATTAGAACGAGAATTATTCAATATTATGATAAAATAAAACGATAAGAATAGATAAATTCTTTGTTCTTATTCAAAAAACTGGAAATTTGTTTATTTAATGAGTACTTTTATGAAAAAATCTTTGATAGAGTAATAAACTATATATTTATGATTTTGTTTGTGTAGATATATATGAAGGTGAAATAAAGCTTTGGGATTCAGTTCGATCACAAAATTCTGAATCAAAATCAGATAAATCTATTATACAACATATTTTTTCAACAAAGTTTCTTTGTAAAACATTAGAAGAATTTATTGGAATTAACAATATGATTGTTAATGATCCAACTGAAGATTTTAAAAATATAATTGATGCATTTGTTAAAATATCAAAAACAAGATCAGAAAATGAAACAAGTTTAGAATTTGATAATCATTTAAAAAAATTTAATTCACAAATCACATATACGGGAAATCAAAAGGGTGGTGAATTTGAACAAATATTTCGTGATAAACAACCAGATTTTACATGGTCAATTACTACACAGTTTTATGCATGGAATATTGTAACAATAATTAAAAAAAAAAAGAATGATTTAACAACAAATGAAATATCTCAAATGTTAGAATATCTAAAAATGATTGTTCAAATATCTCCTGAACGAACATATGCAATTGGATATTTAACTAATTATAAAGATATTATTTTTGGTAAAGCAACAATAATAAATAATAAATTTAATTATGAAATATTTAAATCAAAAAATGTGATTAAAGAATATTGGAAATTTCTTCATTGCAATCCAATTTATTTAGGACACGTTAAATTTTCTATTCCAGAAAATTTTCAAATTAATTTATTATTAGGTAAATATTAATTTTAATAATAGTTCAATATTAACTTTGTTGCAACAGACAATAACTTAGAAGAGGACATACATTTTTATTCGATTTATTAAAATTGCATAAATTTTTTATTTAACATATATGGGCAATTTCATTTATTAGGGACGTGACGTCGCAAAATTAAAAAGCTTATATCTCTGGATAACAAACTTCTTTAGAGCTAGGTTTTTTTTATGGCATAAGCATACTAAGTTAACCTATGCAGCCTGAAAAATTCAGCCATATAACTCTCCGTTTAGAGAAGTTACCAGCAAAAAGTAGCGTTAGGGATGTGACCAAATAAAAGACATCAACTTGCACTGCGCGTCCTTCAGCTTAAAAAAACTATAAATTGAGGCAGTATTAGGGATGTCACTTTTGCGTTCCGTTCCCAGAAACGGGGAACGCCATAGCGTTCGATGTTCCCAAGAACAGGAACACGACACATGCTTTCTTTATCTTAATAGAACTTTTCCAATTCCATTGAGTTGAAGATAGCTTCTTACAAATTAAAAGTTTTTACAAAGTTTGACCAAAAGTAACCGAGATCGAAGAAACCAAATCTGTAATCGGTTTCTCAAAGTTTTGAGTTTCATTTTTTTCATAATCCAAAGGTTTTTTCTTGAAGAAAATAATTTTT